GCCGGATCACCAAATGTGTGTTGTTTTTATTCGTAAAACAACTTTCTACAACAAACGTAACAAAATACCTAGGTCTGGCAGAGCGTTTTATTACAATAAACACATGGTAAATGTATTTCACTAATGATATACATACACATCTTTAAGTGTATCTCGATACAGAGATGGGGATACTCCAGAGTATTTCTAAGATACTATCGCAATACTTTCCGGCCTTGCAGTATGAACAATAGAAGTCCCATAGTATATTTGTCTGAGATCATTGATCATGCTGTACTGCATTTTACGTTGAAGACGTCTGTACCATAATTTTCTTGTTAGCTCGAACAAATACGAAATTATACGACAGCAAATTTTGGGCAGACTAGTGAATTTACGCTTTTTTTAACTATTTCTCAAAATATTCGGGATTTTTGTTGAAGAGAACTGGAAATTGATTTAGCATAACTTTATCTTTCTCATCACAAGTGATGAGAAAGATCTCATCACATTACACAAGTGATAAAAATAGTTAAACGTACCGAGCCACCGCGGTTTACGAGGGCCCTGAAATGACTCAAAGGAACAAGACATATCATTTATAAAAAAACTCAAAATAAAAAAAAGACAACAATCGGTACGTGAGGAACACCGTATGTGAAAGCAATTGTCACTCTGAACTACCCCAACAATGTGTGAGTGAAATCACAAATATCTCAAAACATTATTTTAAATCTGAAGTAACTCCGTATAAAAACCAGGCGCACAAGAGCATTTTGTAACCAGCTTTGTCAAACGTTTTTGTCATAGCAAATTATGTTCTATATACCGATCCTCTATATTAACAAAAGGCGCGGAATTCTAAAAACGTGCACTAATTAGTTTGAAAAGTCCAAAATCCCAAGAAATAATGATGCGGAGGTGTGTTTTTTTCATATAAAACCATTTGCATCTAGAGAACAATCTGAAACATTTTAAAAGAACGAAAAAGCGGAATGACATACTCGAAGGAAATCTGAAACAACCGAGGCATATAACTTCTTAAAATCCGAAATTTTAAAAATTGTTGATCCCAGCTGACTGTGCGTACATTGAGTTGTAAACAAAAAATAATTGTTTTTGAAAACGAAACACCCTACACCGTTAACACCAGTTGACAGCATCGTTTTCACTTTTCTTATCGCTTCGGTAATTCCACTACAATATACTCTGTAAAACGCAGACTCATAACAGTTTATTTCATCGTTCCCGGGCTAAGATATTGTTGGCCTTCTAAATTTTTATAGTATTAAATTATAGTGTATATAGAGATCCCCTATTTATAAGAAATGGCTGAGAATAGTCTAAGAACGTCCCAAAAACAGTCTCAAAACCCCGACCTCTCAAAAAAAAAAAAAGCTTGATGCTGAGGTTTCTTTGTTTCTTTTCTAATCTTTTAGGAATTAGAAAACGTCCCCATTCGTAGAATAATTTGAAACACATTGGAAAAATATGAAAAGCATAAAATCTCTAAGCAACTCTTAAACAATAGGGACATCACCACTTTTTAAAATCCGAAAATTCATTGATTCCGACGGAAAGGTACTTGAGCTGAGAGAACAACTAAAAAAATTCTTGGAGCGGTACTTTTATTTCATTTATTTATCGTTAGGGGCCCGGGTGGTACATTATATTAGGGGGGAGTAATTGAGAGTTTGAATACACTTTGGCACTTGAAAACGACAAAAATAAGAAACGGAGAAAGTAAGAAAAAACAATAGTAAAGCACAAAGTACTGATATGGATTAGATGCGTATGAGTAGTGCATGTGTAATGAGATTTCTGCTGAAACCTTATTAGGTCAGCATTGAGCACAACTTCATCGGGAAAGGAGTTCCAGATGGCTATTGCGTGAGGTAAAGAGGAAGTGGTCAACGCAAGCGTTTTGCCTTCAATACGCGTGATGCATTGGCTGTGATTAAGGCGTGATGATACTCTCTCGGGAGGAGCAAGACGGGTAGCATGGTAGTATGGATAGTTTTAGGAGAATTTATGCATTCAACTCTTCAGTGCATGGTTTGATAATGAACCTCTGTATACCGCTAATACCATCTGAGAATTTCGAGCACACTTTTCTTATCGCCTCGGTGATTCCACTAGAATCTGCTCGTAGAGAAGGCAAAGAGGTAAATTTATCTGATCGTGATGAGGGTAACAAAGGTTGGTTGCCGTCAGAATAACATTCAAAATACAAGGCAATAAAATATTAGTTATCTAAACAAGCAATCAATGATAACTATCTGCATCATCTGAAACACCACTCAAGCAGATACATCGACTAGCCTCACGAGCATCATTTTTCAGAAACTGCCATAAATATTTTAGTCTGCAATTCAGTATCTTTTTCCCTCCCCTGGTGTGGTTTTTGGGCTTGAATTATTTTCCACTAACGCACAATTTAAGCAAAATTGTTTGTTCCAGAAAGCAGAATATCTTTTATATAACATTGGGATATATTTTATTTTCACTTCGGATCATATTTTTATACTTTTGAAAACCAGTCAGGGAATTTGTATTGCGTAGTTGACTATTTAAGAGCAAAACTGTCGATAGAACCTTTCAAAATCGAGGTCAGCGCTTCGGACGCATGATCAACATACGCCAAAACCAGAAAATTTCTCCAGTAAGAAGTTTAAATGAATATTTTATACACTTCTATAGTCACCTTTTGAAAACCAGTAAGAGACAATTCGGAAATATGCAGTACTTCTCATCGAATTTTCGATGCACTGCGGCAGTGCGATGTACGGCGGGTGGAGTATCCTTAAACACAAGGAGCTTTTTATGTTTGTTTAGCATTATGCGATATCCGAGCGGAAAGACAAAAGGACCGGGTTTATAATGTGCTTGCTTTTTGTTTTTTTGTTTACTTTTTCTGAATTTGCAATGGTAAGAGAGAAGGAATTTAGCCTCTTCAAGGATTAAGAACTATGCCGGCCCGAGTGTACATCAAAACGGCACAATTCCCTGCGTCGCATGGTGCATTGTGTGGTTGACAAGAAGCCTTGTGAGATTTTCCAAAAAGGTAAACTAGATTTACTCCCACTGTCCTCGCGGCCCGTACGAAGATATGAACTCAGTAATAAAAAGTTATCTTTTATGTTTCAGTGCATTCAACGAATTTTGCGCAATAGTGTAAAAATTCCCATACCTAGTTTTTATGTTTTTTAAACATAAAAGCTGAGTATATCCTAATTTGTCTTCCTTCGGAAGCTTTTTGCCTTTTCACTGCGAAACATCCTCAGTGCTCAAAAGCGTCAGCCGAGTCCACCTCACGTTTTGAATAAGAGCACTGTGTCACTCGTACTACCCTTGGCAACTATGAAGCCATCGGTGAATATTAGTTTTTTTTTTTCTTATTTTTTTCTTTACAGTTTTATACGCATGTTCATTCCTTGATTTAGAACAAATATGCTGAATGCAGAGAGAAGCGTTTTTGTTGTCCGTCCCAAATATTTATTCTCCGGTATTTAAAGATGTGGCCAATGAAGTTAAATATCCAACTCAAGCTGCTTCATGAACCTTTTGAAAATTTTTTCCAGTGTTCCTGGAAAATTAAATTTGGAATTTAATTGAATTTAATTTATTTTGATTAAGTTTACGTGAATTTTTCCGAAGCCAGCATTCTAATTCCTTTCACATCACTTGTTTTTCTAACAGAGGTTTTTTTGTATAAATGCATGTTCGGAGGCATAAAGATAATATTTAAACCGCCTAGAATTTGACCATCTGGGGCAGTCCCAGCATTTTTTTTTTTTCATGTGAGTGATCCCATGTACCACACCTGGTAGTCTTAGGGCGCGTGACGTGAGATAGAACGATACCAATAGCAAACATCGTCTCCGTGCATCAAGCAAGACGTTAGAAGATAGATAGATGTCGGTCTTATCGCCTTCACGAAAGGAGCTTCTCTTTGAACATTTACACAGCAGAACCGACGACAAAGATTCCAGCTGCTCGTACGAGCAGGTGCCAATTTCTCTCGATTATGTCACAATGAACGGAACGTTTATCTACTACATGGAGGAGGTTTACAGACCGCGCTCTTTTCTTCTAGAAATGTCCGGTCTGCACCATTGATACATTGTAATATTTTCGTGCCATACATAAGCCCTAAAATGGTGAAACGCTTTGCAATTTCCAAAATAACCTAGAATATGGTCGCTTAAATCCTTCATCTCTACGGCTTATTTGTAGTGCGTATCAAATGTTTACAATTCTACTAGTTCTTAAAGGCACAATATGATAGATGGCGCCAAAACATCGCTATCTTCCTCACGTGTTATCAACAGCTATATAAGTCGATAATCGTCAATTTCTTCTCGCAGATTCGGGCGCTACCTAAGCGAATCTACTCAGGTACAAGTAAGTTTCCTTCTAAACTTATAGAAAATTTATATTATGTGGGTGCATATCTGAACGCAATCTTAAATCAATATTAGATGCAAAGTTGCGAAGAGGTTGAGTAGGCATGGGAGTAGAACGTTAAACAAACATTACGGCTGGTACTATTGTAGACTAAGACTACTGTTGGAAGTAATTTGTTGGCGATTATGTCAAACCTGCAGTCAATATATTTTTAATTAAACTATATAGATCTAGTCCAACGCTTCATCTAATTCGTAGGAAATTGTGTGTTTCTGCGATCCGCACATGTGGCTTGTTTTAAATTCGCCTTATACACAAAGGGTTTGCTTACATTTTATTATTTTGTTGGTGAACGTTTATCGTAACCTTCATATGTCATTAACACAAATACCGATTGAGGCTTTTTATCAGAACTGCGCTTTTGTGTAACCAAACAGTTTTAGAGACGCTCAGAAATATCCAGCGAGAAACGATTTCTTCAGAATATTTTAACTGATTTTACGAGGCTTAATATTTTTGTCTAGCTTGCGCGTTTTTAATTTTTCTTATCAGAGATGCATATTTATCTATTATAAACGCAAAAATTTATTCATGTCCAGGCCTCTAAGAAAATGGCGAGTCCGATCAAGACATTTGTGGTACTTTTTCTACTCGGTGAGTTCACGTAATCTTTGTAAACTTTGAAGAGTGAAAGGTGCATGTTTTCTTCAAAATTCCACAGCGCGCGAAACAACGACATTATATATGTCCCATTTTACATACCCGAAAGGCTGAAAATTTTGTATTGAATTTTGCAAGCTTCAAATAATGGTTTCATAATAGCGTTAGACATTAGTTTATAGTCTTCTATAAGCAAATATAGTGGTAAATTGTCGTCAGCGACATAGTTCTTAACGCAGTGATTGAAACTAAAGCAGGTGTAATATCTGGCGAATATTTGAGTAAGTATTTCCTCAAATACACTCCACGAAACAGGCCTGATACAAGGTTTGTTATAAGTTTTATGGCTAGTTCTAGACATTATTGTCACCTAAATAGCTGATTTTTTCTACGTTGTCAAACACGGCACCATAAATCTTCTAAATGCCTGACATAAAATCGCGCTCTTTTTTACAGAACACATTGACTTTAAACTTAACTCGCATTTTCATAGCCTTGTCAGCGGCAGCTGCAAAGCGTGAATTATTAAATTCGAGTTGTTTTCAATGCACCAATTAACCAAAACATCGCGACGAGCACTACACTGTGGGAATGAACGCACCAAGCTGACATGCCATACGCGTTATCTACTATCTGCTGATGTGGATGGCAGCGGGTTCTGCCATTATTTTATTTGGGGGACGTTCTCATGGGCATCCCTGAGACCGGTGGTTGTTGTAGAGCACATTATAAAAGATGGGGACTATGTCAGCATGACTGCTGACCTGTAACACCTATGCATGGCTTCAGTCTTCCGAACCGGAACTGGAATCTTCCAACAGGACAACACTCCGTATCACAAGGCCATAATTGTGCTACAGCGGTGTTAAGAGTATGGTGAAACCCACCAACGTCCTGTCCACTAACTCGCCAGACATTAGTCGTATTGAGCACATCTGTAATGGGATATGGCTCTAGCTTAGAGCTCAGAAACCACCTTATCGTAATCTACACGATGTGCGCGACCTGTACTTGCAAATCTGGTACAACGCTTTTCGGGCCACTTACCAAGGACTCGTAGAATTCATGCCGAAACCATTTGCAACTACTGTATTTTTTTTTCATTTTCGCAGCATGTGTTTTTTACTAAACGGTCACACAGGACATAATCGCAGGGCAGCCACTAAGTTTATCGAATTCCTGACGCCTGCATTAAAACAGTTCAGGACCGAAATTTCGGCGTTCCTTTAAATTTTCCGAAATTTTCAGTTCGCGAAAATCACGAAAATTAAAAACTCGCGACAATTAATGCTTTAACAGTATTTTGGGCACCAGGGGTTGATCAACACGGGGTTAGGTGGGTGGTTATGTTTTGACTGATCAGTGTATAACTTTTATGCGAAACCGTTTTCCTTACCTGAGCCCTTCTGCACGGCATCTCTGGGTGCGTTCTAGACATAATTCGGCTTCTGATTGTAGATGTTTATATTACAGTATATCGCAATAATGTTTATGAAATAAACCAAAAAAGAGTTAATTTTACAAAAGAAGTCAAGCATTTCTACAACGTATTCAATACACCCTCACAATTACGGTCCAGATACGGGCTAATTTTCAGAAGTATTTGCATTAAATTCAACTAATAATAGTTTAGTGCAGATATTTTGGCAGCGCGACTAGCTTTACAAGGGACAATCTGAGTGCTATTTATTATAAAGATTTTCGCATCCCTTCTGAAAACACTTTAGTGAACATGATACACGGAAAATGGTGATATAGTGATTAATATCTAGCTCGATGCTAATTTATGTTCACAACACCAGCATTAAGATTTTTGTGAGAATATAAAGTTGCGATTCATTTCGTAAAACTGCTTACCTTCGTATATGTCTCTTCCAGGCTTCGCCAGGTGCCTGGTCAATGCCCAAGACCCATACGGTAATAAAACATTTTGATTTGCTTTCAAATATAATTTAAACAAAGAGAACATCTAAAGAAGGGTTTAAATACTTTTTTTAGAGCAATATGTTATAGTAATGAGAGTTTTTGAGGTGCATTATAGACTTTAACACATACCTTCTAAACGATCAATTATCGTTTAAGCTGTTTGAAGTTAGACTCAAAACCCTTACGGATCCCGCACATATTCTAATCAACACATCATGTTTGCGGATTTCATCTAACATCCTACACATAAAACGAAACGTCTGCGAGTTCATCTGTATGAAAAAAACGCTGACAGTACAACATGGCGAACGCTAGAATGATCCCAGCGAATGAAAAAGCTGAAAATACGATTAAACAAAAAATTCAATCTGCGCAAGTACAATGAACACCTGAAATGTCATGCACATTGTGCAAACGCACTCTGTTTTTGTTATTGTTGTGTTTGTCGTATTTTAAGATGTGTTATTCGTTTGAATCCTTCTATTACTGGCCGTTATTAGAAGTCTTCGTGTAGTGTAGGAAGGTAAACGCGCAGACTTTTTGTTGTGTGTCGGAGAAAGAGACGACCCACACCATCGCCTCTTGGCGTTTCTTTAGAGATTTTATTCGTACGCTGATCTCATCGAACCATAGTGTCACTCTTTCTTTTCGTTTTTTTTTTAGCAAAAACTTTAAACGAGGCAAGCATATCTCTTTCTGTTATCTGAGGGTCAATTCGGACATTTCCACATGCGTGCGTATTTATCTAAAATATTATGCTATAACTTTCATGAATATATCTATATAGAAACCAGCAATGTGCACCTGCGACGGGACACAAGTCTCAAACCGAAGATGATATTTGATTACCTTCAGCAGCGTCCTAGCTGTAAGAGTCACATAAAAACCTTCAAAAAGAAGGAATCAGCGTAGTAAATAACACAAATCAAGGAAAAATTAAGTTACTCGTACAGATACTAGCCATAAAAAAGTGTTTGTTTTATTAGTTCCTATATCATTCATGATCCAGTTCAAAGACCGCTAAACTGATTTAATATTTACATGGCATGCAAACCTATAAATCGAATAAATTTATACTACGAAATGAACAAGTCACCTTTACAAATGCGGTATAGAACACTTTGTGGCGAAGCCATTCACATTTTGGCCTAGTTGCTCTCGCGCCATAAAACTACAATCAATCAATGACAATATAAAAGTAGGAACAGTGGTCTGAGGAATAATTCTTTTTCAGAGACCCAAAAATTCTGTCTTTAAAAAAAAAAAAAAAAAAAAAAAACAGTGGCAAATAATATTTTCATCTACCCTCGGATCTTACATTTCTTGGACTCGAACAATTTCTTCAATTCGTCGCAACACGGATTTCGCAGAACATCTCTTGCGGAACCCCAACTGGTCCTATTTATTCATCATCTGCATACTAATCTTCAGTATTACATACAATTTCACGCCATTTTTTTTAGATCTCGCAGATGCATTTTACCAAGTACCCCATAAGCGCTTATTACAGGGGCGGCCAAACTGCGGCTCGTGAGCCGGATGCGGCTCTTTGCGCGTTAAAGTGCGGCTCGCAGTTCCCTCCCCAGCCCTCCACTCCTCTGCCTCGCCTCCCTACTGGTCACACGAGCACTTCCCCCAAAAGACACTGCTGGAACGCGTTTTTAATCGAAAGACAGGTTGCGATTTCGTAGTCTCGTGCTGCTTCTACCTTACGTGCAATTAGACGGCTTTTGACTTGGGTAGATTGGAAGTAGTACGAGTTTCATTTATTTCTCTGGACAAACGTTTGCCCCCCCCCCCCCCCCCCCCCGCGGCTCTTGGAAGTTTCATACTTCTGTGTGCGTCTCTTTAAGTGTGAAGTAACTAGCCGACTGCTCTCTTCTCCCAGCTGATGTACAATGAGTTTCAAGATTGTGTATAGAAAATAGCTTGTTACCTAACCCCTTCAAATCCAAATCAATTGTGTTATCCAGGAAGCGTGATGTTATTTGCTTTGCATATTACCTGGATAGCGTATTTGTTCCTCCAGTATCCTTTGTCAGAGACTTTGGAGTGTATTAGGAAAGCTCACTTTCAACAATCATGTCTTCGCTACAGTAAATGCAGCGTTCAGGACGTTAGAAATGATTTCAAAAATTTGTGGTCAATTTTTAACCCCTTGCTGCTTGCTACTCTTACTTAGGTCTCTAGCCTCATTGCGACTGGAATTTGCTTCAGAAATTTGGAATACATTGACTCTATCGTAAGAGCTAGCTATTTAAAATGTGCAAAACGAATGATAAGAATTTTATATGACGGATACATTGCAAGGTGATATTTTTATCACTATGAAACATTGCTTCGTAAATTTTTGCTGCATAAATTGGCCATGAGAAGGCAGTACAGAGATTTTCTATTCCTTCACAAAGTTGTTCATTGCAGGGTAAGTTCGGTGGCTTTATTACAAACTATTCAGTTTCATGTTCCCTCTCGCTCGAGTTGAAACATTTCAAATTTTTATATATCTTGGTTGTCAGCTGTGATCCCATTGTCAAGAATACAAATTGCTCGTGATTCATTAAAAACTAACCTCAACATATTTTCATCCACTCATGAGTTTATGTAACATCTACGTTAGTGGATGTCTGCGAGTAATCAATAGTGAGTTTTTGCATGATCATAATGTTTATTTATTTAACTTAGCTTTTCTCTGTATATTTAGGCTTTACTCTACGTATGTTTAGTACGCCAAACTGTAGATTAAGAGGTTATTGGAGGTGCGAAAAATACAACAATTTATTACTATAATTAATAATAACGAATGTAAAGTTATGTCCTTCCAGCTTCGCCGTAATCCTTTATTCTGACCCTATGCTATCCTTAACGTTTCCATTGATCTAGTTGAGTAATGTAAGTACCTTGGTGTCACCCTCTGTAACGATCTAGCATGGCTCATGCACGTTACTAACATTATTTCCTGTGGAAACAGATCCGTGGGATTCTTAAAATGCCACCTACGTCATGCACCGCAACACGTGAAATTACTTGCCTATAAATCGCTTATCGAACCCAAATTTGAATACCCATCCGTAATCTGGAGCCCACATCAAGTATATCTTATCAACACACTCGAAGCCCTTCAGAATCGCGCCACCAGATTTATCCGTGCTTCATAGTCGTTCGGTGTCAGTGTATTGTCCCTAAAAGCTTAACTATGTTTGCTAACTCTTCCTAGTCATCGCAGCCCCCCCCCCCCCCCCCCATTTCCAGCCTCTCCCTATTTCACAAGCTCTTCCACTCTCTGCTTGGTATCGCACCTTACATCGTACCCCCAGCACGCAGGTCCTACGGCACCGGTCATCTGCTCCAGGTCGCCCGCCCACAGTTCCGCACTTTCACTATTTGCGCCTCAGTTTTTTCCCGAACACCAAAAGACTGGAACGACCTTTCCTACAACATCGCTGCCATCACCTGTCCATCAAGTTTCATTGAAAATGTTACTATTATTTTTTTCAGTGAATTTCACGTTGCACTTTTTTAAATGCTTATTTTATACACTTCACCTCTTCTGTAATACCCCCTGAGGGGTCTTTAAAGTAATGAGTTGAAGTAAACTGATATGAATATAAATATTTAAGACACGCAGCAAGGTGCGTCTTTAAAGGAACACTGACACTACTAATTTTTTTTTTTTTGCTTGACGATTTATTATGGTGCCAGAAGACTACCCTATCAATATTTTGCTAGAAAGTCAGGTATATTTTTAATAAAGCAAAAAAACGAAACTGCTCAAAACCAAAACAGAAACTGAACAGGGGAGGAGGAACAAATGCACAGGTACAGAGAAAATGGCCGAAAGTCACGTAACTACACCCGACCGCTTCCTCTTTCTTTTTCTTTTCTTCGTTTTTCTGGGTGTGTGACGCAGTTGAAAAACGCGGACTCCGCACCTCACACGAAAAACGCAAAACTCAAGCTCTTCGTGCTTGACGTTTGCGCTTTTCTCAAGAGCGTATTTGTGTTCGTAAGACGAACGATGTCTTCAGTCGGCAGAAGGGGCGTCGACTCGGCGACGTCTTCGTGCGAGTCAGCTTGGTGGTCGGGCGTGTCGTACGGAATAAATCCTAATTGTTCTGATCGGAAAAAAAGATTTCTCGTTCGAAGCTAGATAGATTCGCCGGTGCCGCGGAGAACAGTTCTGAAATAAGCGTCCCACACCCGTCGTCCGCCGCCATCGCTTAGTCGGCTTCGTTCAGCCGTCCAGCCTGCAACTAACGCGATAAATTACTTAAAAGAGTAAATTACAGCGGAAGGAACAAAAAGCCGATATCGCTTTTGTCCTTTTAACTGATTGATCAATTTTGACTGAACTATCATATCGCAGTTAATTTTTTTTATGGAGAGGAGGGAAGGGGGGGGGGGGCGGGCGGGGGGGGGGGGGGGGGGCGGGGGGGGACTTACAAAATTCGCGGTTCTTAGGCAAACCCATTACTTTTAATTCGAACACTTTAAATTTAGAGTTCCTTCATATTCACCGAGCTCTAAAAGTATCCCGCTGACAGCCTCTGTTTTTTCCGAGCCGTGACTGAACCCCCTTGTGCCTTACTTGCTAAAGTATTCTTATAGTACAAATTAAATTACTAACACACAGAGTGACGCGTGATAGCACCAGGTAATTTGTGCCGTGGTGGGGCCTTATTTACGCACAGAAAAATCTACGTCTTTTCTTACACGTAAATGAATAGCGAAGTTGTGCTTTTGCCTTCCCTGAATACGTTGCTCGGATTTCAAGCAGGTCCGTCACCTCAATTAGTGGCACAATCGGAGCCTCCTCCTCTTTCAACTATAGTTTCTGATTACTTGAAAAATGCCGGGCATACCGCAGCAACTTTGCGTACGAGGCGGTTGAAGCTTTTCGCCTCAATCGGAAGAAAGATCACATCTCTACTGATGGAATCATTCAACCACTGACTATTTCGACGTCAGCCGACACATCTTTGTGCGAAAACGTG